AATTAAATAAATATCTTTATAATATATATAAGCAAATGGTTTTATAGAGTACTTTAATATATCATTCCCATGGCTACCCTAACCAACAGTGCGTGCACCGAAGCAAATTCGATAGCTATCGCGTATTCATCTATTGTGCTTTCATCTTTAATGCACTTTTAAAATACAATGCAATCTATTTGTCGCTAAAGGCTCGTAAACGATACATCGATTGATAAAATAAACGCTTTAATAGATTTTAACTATCATTTTTTGTGTAAAGAATGTGTTTATTATGGTGCTAATTTAATTATTAAGTACTATCTGGTTTCTACTTTATATGATTATTAAAAATGTATGACAAGTTTTTTTAAACTGTTTTTTTTTAAATTGGATTTCATTATTTTGCGAAGAAAATAGTCTAATCTAAGTCTTAAAAAATAATTTTCATTTTATTGATTTATTTACTTATATGCATTTGGGTAATTTTTAAATGTTCTTATTATATATCTGTGTTATTACCAAATAATATACCTAATTTAAATGATTAAAAAATAAACATATTATGTCACTTGCTAACAATACATTTAACAGCTATACAAAATGTCGTATCATCCGCCTGTTCATTTCGAGAGGTCACAGATTTGACGGTTAACAATGCAGTGACTCTATTCAGCTCTACATTGTGTAAGATAAACATCGTAAGTGCTTAATAGTTTGTATTATGCGGGGCTATTATTGGCAAAAGGTGGAGAATCAAATCTATATATATAAAAGAAAGTCGTGTTAGTTACACTATTTATAACTCAAGAACGGCTGAACCAATTTGGCTGAAAATTAGTGGGGAGGTAGTTTAGAACCAGGAGACGGATATAGGATACTTTTTATCCCGTTCGATTGCGTTCCCGTGTGACGTGACATAAAACTCAAGAACGGCTAGACCAATTTTTATGATATTTGAATTTTTGGATTTCTTAGTTAGTCCGGAATAGGATAATAAATATTAAAACATCAAAAAAAATACGAAAAAAAAAATTTGTATGGCTACCTCTGGCTAATAACTATTTATATCTATTTAAAACGTACCTAGCGACGAACCCGAGCGAAGCGAGGGTGAGCCGCTTGTTTTAAATATACTTTGCTTTTTTATATTAAGTTTTTTAATAATATTTAAAATCTATACACACTACAAAGTTCAAAGTAAATAAATACACATCCATAATTTTTCAATATGAAATTAGCAAAAGAAACCCAAAAACCAGAATAAATAATTTACTGAATAAAATATTCAAAAAATAAAAATCTAACAAGAAACTCCACCGCTGTCACATGTACTATACTACTATAGGTTCTAGGAGAAGATGTTAATATGTGTACGATAGACTAGTTAGGCGTCGGACGCGACCGGTAATTCGTTTAAACCCACGCCGTAGTACATATTATGTATGTACACATATATTCAGTATTGGTACTAGTAATCTGAGATTTCGAGTGAAAAATGCTTCTGAATTTTTCTAAAAGTATGCTTAGATAGTGTTATCTGTTGGTAAGTTCAAAACTAAATTATTGTTAGCTAGATGCTAGATATTATGCATCTGTTAAGTACAATATGATTTATCAGTGTGTCTGTATGAGTTTCATCAAAATCTGTTTAACAACATCGTAACACCTTTACAAATATTTTTATTTGTTATATTATTACAGCCATATCTTAATATTATACTTTCTTACAAGAGAATGATTGACGTTTTTTGTCAATATGATAGAAACATCCATTTAGTTCGTCATGACGCAGATCTGATTGTTTCGTCGAGATAAATTTTGGATATTTTACCTGATCTGGTCGGAATTATTAGAGACATAGAATATTTTTCCGCTGATGTAATGTGTTTAAGATTGACATCAATAATTCAGTGTATTTTTCAAGTTTCCATCGAATCTATCGAAAACTACGATAGCCTGTTCTGTGTATCTTTTTAAGCCGCGACGCAAAAAGAGGAGTGTTATAAATTTGACGTCGATGTCTGTATCTGTCTGTCTGTGGTATCGCAGCTCTCAAACGGATGGACCGATTTCGATGCGGTTTTTTCCTTTGAAAGCCAGTTTCCTTGCGGTGGTTCTTAGCTATATTTGGTTAATATCGGCCCAGCAGTGTAAGAGTATCAGCGCTTTTCCAAAATGATGTAAGGCATTTTGGCGTATCATTACCTACTCGATTAAGTACTTACTTCACGCGTGCCAGTGTGATCGTAAAATGACAATTAATTTGCGTAGGGGGGTTTTTAAGCTTTTAATTTATAATATATTAACTTATAAAAACCCGTTTCAATATTATCATATCTTTCACTCTAAATAGATACATTACATACAACACAAATCTTTCTAGAATCAAAATTAAAGACATCTACGCCTAAAAAATACTTGTATTCAAAGTAATCTTTACAGAAGCGATATTATTGATAACTCAAATTAGGTTCGAACCAAAAGCCTAAAAATCTATTTTATTAAAATTCTTATGAACATTATCTAATTTAAATTTGACAGAAAAACTAAATTCAATCGTCTATTATAATATTAGTCTCCTAATGTAAATAAAATGGGCGTAAATAAAATATCATTTGCCAGTCTTATTTATTTATTTATATCGGGTCACGTCAAAGAAAATGGCAATTTGGTGGTAATTAAGGCATTACAAGTGTAATTTGGGCAGACATTAGTGATCAGTGCGAAGACAGCGGGTAGCGCGCGGGGAAGGAGACGTGGCGCAGGCAAGGGTTGGTAATGGAAACATCTAAGAAATTGGTTAACTGCAAAAACGAGATGTAATTATAGGGTGTTTTGTTTTTGTAAAAACCAAATAGAACTTTAGTTAGATCTTAGAAGGCTTTGACAAGATGCGAATCTATAATAGATAGCTATTATAGATTCGCATCTTGTGTTAATAGAAAACTAAATAAATAAATGATACGAATATCTTACATAGCAGTGGTAGCCCAGTTAACACGGTTCAATTAAACTAAAACATAATAATTGTAATTGGCAGCATGTGAGAGAACCCAACTAGTTCTTAAAAGATATGCTAAGTTCATAATAATAGTAGAGAATTAATTTCAATTTTTTTTTAAATTGCACAATAATGTTGCTTTGAATAATTAATATTTTATTTTCTTTATGTTTATAAATATAATAATGGCGGCACTAAATAAGATTATTAATTAATTAAGTTTTCAAAAAATAATAATAACAGCCAAAATGAAATAATTAATATACAATTATATAACTTATCAAAATTATAAAAATGTTTAAAATTACAATTTACAAATATTGTAAGGTACTTTGATGTCATTATTGAATTTTATGAAATCATTTTGTTAATTTGTGGATACGCTGTCTGTAACAACTATATAATGCTTTTGAGATATCTTAAACAGTCTCTCCCGTGACCATGATTGCTGTAAAGCATTCGGAATGTCAAGAACCAAAAATCCAAATAAATCCACGAAAAAATCCGAAAAAATAGTTTTATTTAAAATGTCAAATATTCGTGTAAATCTAACAAAGTATTATTGGGGAAACTCATTAATCTATACATATAATAAAATTGTAACTAAGCCGAATCTGTACATTAAATATTTTTTAGAAAATCTTATTAAAATAAACATTATTAACGATACAGAGGCTGAATGTATAGTTTTTAGAATTTTTATCTGTCTATCTGTCTGTCTGTCTGTGTGTCTGTTACCGCATCACAGAAAAACCACTGGAGGGATTTTGATGAAATTTGGTATGGTGATAGTTGGTTATCCGGGTCAACACATAGGATACTTTTTACCGCGGGAAAATATCTCATTTCTGAGAAAAAATACAAAAACTGCAACGTAAGAGTATACTACTCGTAACATGTAAAACCTTAGAATTTGGTTTTTGGTCATCTGAACGCGGGCGGAGCCGCGGGCAATGCTAGTAACAACATAAATAACGTTTTATACACTTTAATAAATTTAGGCTACAATTTTGTTAACATTTAAAATTGTAACTAAATTCTCCCATTTATGGTAAGATGAAATCTAAAATGCATCGACGTTCCCAGTGGAAGAGCAACAAGCAGCGCGACTGCACAAAGTGACACATTTTCCCATCAAAAACATTCGTAACCCTTTATTAACTACAGATTAGCTACAACCGCATCATTTGACAAACGACCGAACGGAAACTTGCGTCCACTCTCACCCTTCACCCGTTGGAATAAAAACTATATTGCCCTAAACTTCCTTATTTTTTCGTTGTCGTAAGGAAGCAATTAGGAGGCAACCAGATTGAAAGGAGCTCTTCAATCACGTTTGGTCCCTTCGAGCTGCACTATTAGGGGTGGGATGGCGAGTTCTTTTGAAGCTGGCCTCGGTTTGACATATGCTCGTCTTGCGTATAGGGGATTGAGTGACATAAGCCCCTTGGTTCATTATAGGCCTTACCCTTCTAGCCAATTCTATTTGCGAACTTCACATTTCACTTAATAAAGGGCGATATTATTTAGTTCCGCTTTTTGTTAAATGGGTCGGAGTTAATATAAGATGGGCTTTATTAGTTTACTTTCAACAAAGCTTGGAGATTGAAACGTAATGCAATAAAACAATCTGTGATAAGATTCATGTAAGCTGCCTAATTATTATAGGTTTTAATATACAATTTATGAATATACCTTGGTAATGGAAATTAATACTGCACTAAATTCTATTTAAAAAAAAAATGCATTTTTCGTCATTTCTTCTTACTGAACTTTAATACTTTTTTTTTAATTTTATACACGAGATTTGTCGATTAGGTTCACGTTATAGCTTAAAATAAATTTCTGATCACACAATTTTAATATTGTCGTACTATCAATTATATCAATTCTTATATTAACACCTCCAGGTAAATTTCTAAGAAATTAATTAAAATCCTAAGAAATCTATTGTTAACTGACACGCCGGCGTGTCCGCGGTCGTGGAGGGTTTAAGCTAAAGGAAACACAAACTCACCTGTACTCTAACTTCCGGCAAGTTGACTTTCATGGCCAGCTCCTCTCTCGAATACACATCAGGGTAGTGACTTTTCTCGAACGCACGTTCCAATTCGTGCAGTTGGTAGGTCGTGAAGGTGGTTCTGTTGCGGCGATGTTTCTTCTTGTCGGAGGCCGAGCCGGGCCGGGGGGTGTCGTCGTCGCTCGCCGACTTGTCGTCTACCGGCGCTTGGAAGCCGTCGTTGCTATTACACGAACCCTCCCCTGGAGAAATATGGTTGTGTTAGATTAGTCCGGTTATGGTTGTACGGAAGAGGAATGTTTTGTTACTTAAAGAGTTGTATTAAATTTTATAACTAGCGTATTCTTGCCGATCCGCCTGCATCGTTTATTTTTAGTATTACCCTGCTCTCGCAGGTCGTAGTGTGTCCTATAACTTTCCTCAAAAAATAGGCTATGAAACGAAGAAAGAAGAAAAGATTTTTGTTTTCAAATCAAACTAGTAGATCGACAGATTAACAAGTTTAAACAAACGCTTCAGCTATAAAGCTATATTAGCATATAAATGCTAATATAGATGAATATTATGAATTGAAATGCTATTCGTTGGTATTCGTATCATTTGAATGATTGGACATTTTGAATGGCTGGAGTGATATTGCTAATTGTTTTTAAAAATATTCATAATAGTTTAGGATAAGGTGAATATTTTTGAAAGTTATCTTCAAAATTGGGAAAACCTAAAACGCAAAAGTGTCTTTGTTTAATTGTTTTTTCATCACATCGCAACATTGCATAAAAATCATATGTCACATGTCCCGGTACTTGATGCACGTCACCCTCAGCATATTATCTACTAACTTGTTATATGTTAATAAGTCGTACATAATAAATTGAAAACTTTCCGCTATATCGTACACGTCGGGGCAGACCAGTCCTGCATTACGCGTGCAAGTAGCCTACAATTAGGGTAACAATAAATTCAGTGATATTTGCACAGTTGTAGAGCTAATGTATGCAAATGTTCCTCCAGATAATGCAATTATATTCAAAACAGTTGCTTGTACTTCATAACATTTGAATCCACCTATTACGTAGTGTTCGCATCCATTTAGTTCACTTACAAGAATTGTTAATTAAACACAACGTATAAGGAGATAGTTTGTGCGTTTCTGCATGTTTATTTGGTTATTGTTATGTCCAATTACGTATTTGAAATCAAACTTTAGTTGTCATTTTTTATTAACCTAATTTCAAAAATAATAAGTGTCCTTAGATGATTTTAACACGTAATAAAGATGATGGAACATGATTAAAAAGATATACATTTCATTAAAGTTGACATAAAATAAGAGAAAATAAGATGTTAAATAAGTTTTAGAGACAAATATTGGAATGCATAGACTCTTGTGGAAATGCCTGATGACATTTTCACAAGTGTATACGCTGCAGAAGGTTTAGAGATTGTAAGAAGCAATATACGTGTGCAGATATTATAACGCTAACCTCGCATATTGTCTTTAGCATACAAGGCTCAATAACTACTGAGCCTGAAAGGCTTAGAAATCCCAAAGCCACCTCGTGGGTAGACTTCAAAAACCTGCTCGCTGAGGCAGCTAAGGATTTTCCAAAAACAATCAAGACACCCGACTCCCTTAACATTTTAAACAACTTATTAACGGATGGCATCTTAAATGCCTATGAAAATAGCTGTCCTGTCAGGGAACTCAAGGTTAACAACAATACTCCGTGGTGGAACAAAAAGCTAGAACGACTTAGAGTTTCCACACGTCGCTTATTTAATCAGGCCACTACACCGTATGGGTGGGAACGGTATAAGAAGGCTCTGACTAAATACCACAAAGAGATCAGAAAAGCTAAAAGAGCATCTTGGAAACGATTCTGTGAGAATATCGCCCAAACACATAAAGGAGCGAGAATCCACAAGGTCCTTGCCAAGACACCAAACATCTTTCTCGGCTTTTTAAAAAAGCGAGACGATTCCTTCACGACCACAGAGATGGAGACGCTGGAACTTTTAAGAGCAACCCATTTCCCAGGATCGTACCCTGTCACCGGCAGTGAATTAAACCCAAAGGAAAACTACATCCACAGGGCAAATAGTTGCGACTGGAAGATGGCCAATACCATTTTTAGGCCTAACCAGATTAGATGGGCTTTGAAAAAATTCAAACCATTTAAATCAGCAGGGAAAGACGGAATTTTTCCAGCTCTGCTTCAACAGGGCATGGAACTCCTTATCCCGCATCTGGTAAAATTATTTAGAGCAAGCTTTGCTTGGGGCATTATACCAGAACAATGGACTAAGGTCAAGGTTATCTTTATACCGAAGATCGGTAAAAAAGACTACTCTCAGCCCAAATCCTTTAGACCTATTAGTCTTACTTCTTTCCTACTAAAAACAATGGAAAAAGTAATCGATCAGCACATTAGAACAAGGTATCTTGTGGCTAGACCACTTTCCTGCAACCAACATGCTTACCAAAAGGGTAAATCCACAGAATCTGCCTTAGTAGCTCTGGTCGACAAGGCAGAAAGGTCCCTAGAGGATAAGCAGACAGCTCTATGTGCATTTTTGGACATTGAGGGGGCTTTTGATAACACACCTACGGCAACCATCCTGAAAGGATTAAATGCAAAAGGTGTTGATATCACAACCACCAGATGGGTGGAATATATGCTCTCCAACCGGTGTGCGAAAGTTACGTTAAACGAACACTCGCACAACTTCCACACTACAAGAGGCTGTCCGCAAGGAGGAGTGCTTTCACCCCTATTATGGACACTAGCTGTAGACCTACTACTTGTAATCATGGCAGATCTTGACTACGATACACAGGGCTATGCAGATGACCTTGTTGTAGTAGTAAGAGGTCCCTGCCTGAACACAATTTCCACCAGGTTACAAGGAGCTCTCAATACCATCACAAGATGGTGCAGAGAAAATGAATTATCAATAAACGCTGATAAAACAGTTATTGTACCATTTACCAGGAAAAGGAAGCTTGAAAGGCTGACTGAACTCAGACTCAATGGCAAAACCCTTAACCTATCAAATGAGGTAAAGTACCTTGGAGTCACTATTGATCAAAAGTTGACCTGGAACTCTCACCTCAACAACATTATACAAAAAGCCAAAATGGCCCTCTGGATATGTTGTCGAATGGCTGGAGCCAAGTGGGGCCTCAAACCCAAAATGGCTCTCTGGATGTACACCGCCGTGGTAAGGCCGATCATAACATATGCCTCAGTCGTATGGTGTAACAAAACCAAACAAAAGACAACTATGAGTAAACTAGACAGCATACAACGGATGGCATGTCTAATCATCACGGGAGCCTTCCATTCGGCACCAGGCGACGCTCTAAATGCTTTGTTGGACATAGCTCCGCTATATCTCCATGTGCAAAAAGAAGCTAAATCTTGCCTCTACAGGCTCTGTACACAATTGAATGTAAAGTTGCAATCGCAATATATGAACAAACTCAAAGAGTTGACATTCGAACACAAAACTCTGAAAATGCCAGTCGATGGCATGAGTACAGAGTTTAACTTCGCAAAACAGTACCAAATAGATCTTCCCAACCGGGACATGTGGCTAAAAAACCAAGAGTCTCACAAAAAGGGCAGTCATGTTTGGTTCACAGATGGATCCAAGAAAGGATCTGATGTAGGGTGCGGTATCTATGGCCTTAAGCCTAGATTTGACATGATTGTCAATCTGGGCAAGGAGGCCACCATCTTCCAAGCCGAGGTCTTCGCCATCAACAAATGTGCTGAAGTCATCCTGGAGAGGAAGCTTAGAAACCAAAATATCTACATCAACTCAGATAGCCAAGCAGCACTTTTGGCTATAGATTCTCTTGAGACCAACTCTAAGCTGGTCAAAGACTGTAAGGAAAATCTGAATGTCCTGGGCACATCCAACAGAGTTACCCTCAGATGGGTCCCGGGTCACTCAGGCATAGATGGGAATGAAAAGGCTGATGCACTGGCAAGAAGGGGTGCTGAAACCCCAGTATGTGGCCCAGAACCATTTTGTGGTATTGCAAAACAACATGCCTATTCAATTCTCAAAATTCACTGCAATCGCCAAGCACTTCAAGAGTGGCAATCCACTTCTGGACAAATACACTCTAAAGCGCTAATTAAGGGATATCGCAGAAAGTTTACAAAAGAGTTGCTTCAACTCAACAAGTATAAAACCAGTGCAGTAACCAGAATACTTACTGGTCACTGCAAACTCAATAAACATATGTTTACCCTCGGCCTCAGTCAGACCGCAATGTGCAGACTATGCCATGAGACAGAGGAAACTGCTATGCACATCCTCTGCTCGTGCGGTCCACTCAAGCACCGCAGAAGTATCTATCTAGGGCAGCATATTATGCAACCGGAAGAGATACAGATGCTCCCCGCTCAGAAAATCTGGAAGTTCCTGGAGTCAACAGGACTAAGCGGAGAACTTTGAACTCATTATAAAGGGAGCTACAATGGACCTAAACTGGTCGACGTAGCTAAGGGCCGACCTCGGCACCACACCCAACACAATAATAATAATAATAATAACCTCGCATTTAATATCTTTTACAAAACTACACTATTAGTAACATAATATATTATGTGTATGTATAAAAATTCTCTTTTCTCTTCTCTTTAAGGAAGTTTGATCTTTCCAAAAGCTGCGTGTGCTTATAAACTTTATTTAATAACTTATTATATATTTAGATCTCGATATTAAAAATGTACTTATTTTTGTCTTAACGATTTCCTCCCGCAGCTTCTTTCTCTTATCACGTTAATTAGAAATAGAGTAATTTTTGCTAGTGACTAAGTTGACGTAGCTTAGATATCCAGTTGACCAAATTAAGTAATTTTCATAGGTACAAATAAATATATATATATTATCTCATTATATGTATATGTTGTATATATATATATATATATATATATATATATATTATCTCATTATATGTATATGTTGTATATATATATATATATACAACATATACATATTATGAGATGATGACATATCTTGTGTTACATGTAATATGTATTATAATGATATGTATCGGCGGAATGATCCTCCTCGCAGCGCAAACACCGCTCTCGCTCCGGACGTCAATTATTTGCACAGCCCGTACTGTTTGCATGATAGCGTATAACAGCGGTTTCCCATTTCATTACAATTTTGTCAGACGGAATAAATGTTGGTTTACGAGTGTGGAAATTACTTAATGCTT